CCCACCCCGGCGCGCCCTGCCGCGGGGCCGCGCCGTGCCGAGCAGCACGCCGAGCTGTGGCAACAGGACGTACATGCCACCCCGCTCCCCGCGCCTCCCCTCGCCCGCCTAACGCCCTTTGTTCTTTTGCGCCACACCCTCGGAGCTCCATTTGAATTTCCCGCCATTCGGGAATGGAAACGAAAACTCGGGAAAGAAAAACATCTTGTCGCGGGACGGGCCGAGTTCTGTTCGCAGCAGAGAGAGGGGGCGCCTCCGAAGCAGCAGAGAGGGGAAGGGACGGCCGACTCCGGCGGGTGCGACGACACCAGGAAACACACCCGCGCCGAAGACCCGTCTCTGCCGCTCCGGTTTATTCGGAGGCGGAGATCAAATGAAGCAATCTGAATATCGAGCAGGCCAGCCCGGCTCCTGGCCGGCGGCAGTGGCAGCAGCAGCAGCTGGCTCTGAAGCAGACTGTGCGAGCGAGAAGCGGCTAGCGGAGCGGGCCTCGAATGAGCGTCAGGGAAGACAGACGAGTCGAGCCCTGGCACCCCCGCGACACTCGTTCTTCTTTATTTCGCGCTCACGCCCGCCCCCGCTCACACAATCACACCTTCGGCCCCCTGAGTGGCGGTCGTAAGTCGTCGTGCTGCTGTAGGTGGCCCTGCTGCAAGGAGATTTCCTCCGGGGCGGCATGCGGGACATACATAGGGTGCGCGAGGATATCGCCAGGATCCGGCTCCTGAAGGACGATCACAATGCGCCCACCCCGCCCCGCCCTCCTCGCCTCTTTGTGTCGGCCGAGACAGGAAGCGATGAAAAAGGAGAAAGAAAAAGGTCCCAGGGGAACAGCTGTGCGGCCGCCGCTGGTGTTCGAACCTCCGGCCGGCCAGGGTCGCTATCGGGGCGGAGCAGGGCGGAGCGTGACGGGCCGGAGGCAGCGGGGATGGAGCGGGTCCTTTGTCCTGCCCCGCGCTGGACCCCGAGGCTGGGCGGGCGGAAGCAGATGGGGGAAAGTGCACCGGGGCGAGGGTGGTCCTCAGCGTTCAGGATCCGAGATCAACGATCAACCACCGTCACTAAACCCTGCGATCCCCTCCCATGAGGGTGCGTCACCGACACGTCATTTCGTAAACGTCAGAACGCGACAACAACGCGAAAGGAAGACCCGACCGCCTGAACATCACTCTAGGACATCGACTTGACCTCACCGAATGTGACGCCAGGACCGTTTAGAGCAGTGCTTCACTGGAGCGTCACCAGGACGACGTAGAGGTGTCACGTCGGGGCGCGATCATCCTGCGACGACCCCGCAGAAGGTGAGCGACGCGACGCTGCGTCACCCGCTGCTGTGGTTCGCCGTCCCCTGTGACAGCCCACCCCGCACCCACCGAGCAGTCGGAATACTCACCTAAGCTTTTCTCCGCACAAACAGACAGAGGCGCCTGTTCATCCGTGCGTCTGGCGCCTCCCATTCAGGATCCGGTGAGCCACAATGGGGCACTGGTAAAACTTGTCCTCGGCGGGCACCCGGAGGGTCGCCGTCGTCCGTCACTTGGCACTGACACTCACACCCACAAACGCGCGGGCGGCGAGCTGCGGCACTTGGGGCCCAACACACTCACACACGCGCAGGCGAGCGCGCGAACACACACACACAACAGGTAAACAAAGAGCCTCCTGCGCTTGGCTGGGGCGCTAAGATGCGCCGGCCCGGGGATGCTTCGGGGCGGCCCGGCTCGGCTCCGCTCGGCTCGAACTCCGCTGGGTCGGCTCGACTCGGCTCCGTGCGCTGGCGTCGTCCCTTCGAGGACCACCACGAGAGACGGTCGGGTCGGGTCGACGAGTCGCTGGAGCTGACTAGACTTGAACTGAACGGAGAACGCTCCCCTCCGAGGCGTTGCCAGGCGTTGCCTCGCTGAGCAGGGCGAGCAGGACGAGCTCGAGCCGGCCATGCAGCCCGCCGGCCAGGACGAGAGGGAGCCGAGCCGAGCCGAGCGGGGCCGAGCGGGGAGGGGGAGAGCAAGCGGCGCCGCCATTGGCCAGCGCCTCCCCCTCCCCAGCGCGGCGCAGGGGTAGAGGGCGCTCGGGCTCACCCCCCGGGAACGCCGCCGCCGCCCGCCGCACCCCTCCGTACCCCGCCCCGCCGGGCTGCGCCGGGTGCTGCGCGGCTCTTTGTTTGGGTACCCGTGCTCCCGCTACCCGTCGCACGCAGGAGGGGAGGGGTGGGGGGGGGCTCGTGCGATCGGCGGAGAGCTGCGTCGTCGACGTCGCTCGCCATCCAAACCTCCCATTAGCCTGTTTTTGTCCGGGAGACAAAGTACATTGCAGTCGGCGTGGTCTAACTTTGCCCTGCGGGGGCGGTGGGCGACACGACGATGGGGCGGGCGGTCCGGCCACCGCTACTACTTCCACTACCCGCGGGGAAGGAAGTAAGAGATTCGGAGAGAGCTGTCGTGCGAGTTGGGCGCTACGTGCTGAAGTTCCCCTCGTCGCTCGCAAGTTTCCCGCAGCAGAACCACCGCTTTCCTACCCGTCCCCACCCCCTGCTGCGGGTGTCAGGTAGCTGAACTGTGAACCGGGGCAGGCCTCGCACCGCCACCGCGTACATGTACTCGCACGGGGCGCGCCGGGGAGGTGCGGAGCCTGCAGAGCAGCCACAGGTACCGACCCACCCTCGCTAGCCTCGCGCCAGGCCCGGACGCGCCCCCCAAGCCTCGCCGGCAGAACAAAGGGAGGACCTCGACCGTTGCGCCGCTGCTGAGCCCGCGCGCGCCACCCCTCGCCGCGCCCCGGGACGCCCCTCCGGATAGCCTCGCGCGGAGCGTCACCCGGGCGTCGCTGGGCGTCTGCTTCTGGCACTGGGATGTTGTTGGCCCAGCCGGACATCCGAGCCCGGAACGCGCTTCAGATCCGACATGATCAAGAGCCCAAGGGCCTAACTTCAGCCTGGCGTCGACCCTAGCGTCGCTCTAGCTTGCGCAACCCCAGTTAACCGGTCCTCACCGGTATAGCTCCCGCCCGGGGCTGCGGGGTGGGTAGGGTACCCTCTCAGCCCGAGGTGGAGACGCGGGCGTCACACAGAGGGACAGGGATTGACGAAGAGGAGAGGGGCGCCACCGGTCAGGGAAAAAAATACAGGCAGAGGCAAGCGGGGGTGGACAGCCAACGGACAGCCTGCACGCACAACACAGGCGCTTGCCCTCCCTTTGTCTGTCCACCTCTGGCGTCCACCGACTGTCCCCGCCCCGCCCCGCCCGGCTGCAACCCCTGACAGCCACCCTCAGGCCCACCCCGCCCCGAGCCGCCGCGCCGCGCCACGCCACTCCGCGCGCCCCGAGCCCACCCCAAAGCCATCGGCCCCCTCCGTACTGTTGCTGCTGCAGCGCTGTCTGCTCGCTCGCTCTCTCCCTCCGTCCCTCTCTTTCCTCCCCCCTCTCCCTCTCTCATTCCGTTTCTCTCTCCGTCTGTCTCTCTCCCGCCGCCGCACGGCACGACTCACCCCTTCAAGTCTCCCTTATTCATTACCCCCCCCCCCTTCCCCCAGCGGTGTTCAGCCGAGCGGCGGCCTGGGGGTCGGCAGAGCTAGCGGCGGCAGCGGCGGCGTCCCCGCAAAGGCGTCGCAGGCGTCGTCCCCACCCCCACCGGCGAGGCGACGGCGGGGTCCTCGACTGCGGCGTCTGGTCTGGGACAGCGACAGCAGTGGTGGCGTTCGGTACAAGACACGGGCGTACACAGGTCTTCGACTCTCCGAATGTTGTTCGAGACCCAATTAGAAAATTACCCGTAAATACATTTTGTTCATCTTTTAAACCCCTGATGAGGATGAAACTTAAAACTTTGAAAGTAGTTTAGGCCTTTCAATCAAGGCTTAAAAGATAACCATATTATGGAGTGAAATAAGGGCGCACGAATCCTATGTCCTTTGTTTGAGCTCCGAGAGAACTAGAAAAGGGCGGGGGCGGGAGGGGGTTGTTAAAGTGTGAGTGAGAGACATGGATGGTATAAGGGCGAGGGAGAGGCATGAGGTTCGGCCCTTCGCTCCCGCTCGAGGGTACGTCACGAGTAGAGAGGAGCGTGCTCCGCCGGGGGGTTGGCGGGTGGGGGGTGGGGGGTGCTGACCCTCCCGCTTCGAGTTCACCGTGGCCACTGAACTCGACTCGCGCGCGGGGCTCGAGCAGCGCTCCCGCAGTAACACTACAGGCCCTGATAGATGATGGCATCGGATGGGGGATGGGGGGCGCGCGCGGGAAGGGCCGTGTGGCGCAGTTGTTGCACAAGGTGACGGCGGCGGTGTAGGAGGAGGGCAGGGGGTAGCGCAAGCGGTGGCGAAACTGCAGCGCGTTTTGTAAACACAGCAGCGTACAAATCATTTCGCAGCTAATATACTCTTTGTTTTAACCAAGTGGCAAAATGATGGCAAGTTGTTGGTACTGTAGGTCTTCCCCCCCGCGCAGGCTGCCGCCGCCGCTCGGCTCACAGCTCCGCGCGCACTCCCCCAGGCCGGCTGGCCCGACAGACGCGTGCTGGGCGCGTGCTCCGGGGGAGGGCGGCTGCGCGGCGGCGGCGCGGGTCGCGGCTCAGGGCGCGCTGCTGCTACTCACCGCACACCGCCTACAGCGCGAGCAGAGCGAGCAGAGCGAGCGAGAGCGAGAGAGAAAGAGAGCGAGAGAGAAAGAAACATAATCAAATCCACATTGGCCGCTGAATTTTTTCCCTCCTCGCTCTCGCACCCTGTTAGCGTAATGCGGCTCTAACGGACAATCATGCGTGCGGGCGGATGGCGCGCGGGTCCGCGGGGCTCGGGGCAGAGCGCGCTGAGCGGCCCCTTGAGGCTCTCGGGGCAGAGCAGAGGGACGAGGACGGGACGCAGCAGCGGAACTGGACGCGAGGGTCCGGCCGCCGCAGGGGACCGCAGGCAGGGGACGCAGCACCGCAGCAGCGCGCAGCACAAGCACAAAATAGCAATTAATCGGCACGGCACCGGAGCAAGGCGCCTTTGTGTCTCGTCTCGGTCACTACGGACCGTTTGTCAGAGCGGCCGTCAGTCACCCGATGTGACGCGCGGAATTTCGAGGGGGTTGGGGTTTGCCTTAGTTGGCCGGTTCCGCCCGGGTTTGGAGGGGTCGCGGACGCGTGGCTCTTTTAA